TTTCTCCCCAGAGGAAGAGTTTTTTGTGGGTTGGTTTTGCTTTTTCCTTCCAGAATTATTTTCTCCTGGGATCTAAGTTATTCATTATGCCAATGTTCATAGTGTTCTTTTTTGGGTTGTGGGTTTTTTTGTTGTTTTGTTTTTTGTTTTTCCACCAGCAAAAGTAGCTTGGGCAGTGGTGCTAGGTGTTAGGATAGAAAGAGTTTGAGTGCTGTCAGCCATTTTCTTCCAAGTATACAACTGTACATGGTATAAAACTGATGGGTCTGCTAAACAGATGGCAGGCACTGTGTGTGCCTTCCTATTTTTACCAAAATGAGGAGAGCTTTATGCTGGCGCCTACGGTGTTCTCTGAAATTTTGAAAGTAATTGGATGCAGTGTTGAAAATTTGTCCTGCATTGAAACAAGGAAGTGTCATTCTGTTGTGCTGACAGGGGTTATCTTTAGGTAATCTCAATCTGTGATAGAAAACATAAAGATCTTCACAGTGAGTACACTAACTAGTCCACAGGCCAGTGGTCCCCAAACCTTCCAGCAGCACTGCATGAGTCCAGTTCTGCAAGGAGTGTCATAGTTTGCTTTTCCTGCTAGCCTGAAGAAATATTTGGATCTGTAAAGTTAAGGACTGTAAACAGTATCCAGGGTCCTTCACAACCTGGAAGTTGGTAACCGTTGTCTTTGGCTCCAATTCAGTTTCATAAAATCTTTGGAAGAAAAATTCAGATTACTTTAAAGGCTACTTTTAGGTAAGAACAGGCAGGAGAAGAATATTGATGATCCCTTCCATTATGTTACATTGCGGTTTTGGAGAATTTATTGCTACAGAACTCAGCTCGTTCTGTGGGGTTTTCAGGATGGAGAGGGGTTTCAGCACATTCATGGGTGCCATTATTGAGGGGAAGAGGGTGGGAGGGGAATGTAGAGAGTAATGAACTGAATTTACTTGCTCATTTGAACCTACTAGAATGGTCATAGACATTGTGATCTTTGACACCTGCTTATCGCCCACAAACTCCAGTGTAGTGAGGGATCTCCAGCCATAATAAATAATTTTGTTTAATTTCTCTGCTGGAAGCTGCCTCTTGGTTATTTTGCACTTTGCATTACACGGTGGGGTCAAGTGTGTTCTCTCTTTGCTCTTCTGTAGAGCCAAAAGGGCAGGATTAGGGGTCAACAGCTAGAGACCTAGTGAAGCTAAGGAGGGGGAGCTGCGAGCTGTGTGGGCTGTTTGGTAGAACTGCAGAGCACCAAGTGTCTGCCAAGTTCTCCAGAGAGGAGAGGCTCAACGCTGTGAATGTGGCTATGAACTTCCTCTAGTGTATTGCACAGTGGGTAAAAGAAATTTCAGGCTGCTCAGACCTTTTCATAGTTGCCTGTGACAGCTGTGGCTCATGGTTATCAGTTACTGCTTTTTTTCTTTGAACTGTGACTGGCAGTGAATGAGCATGGGATGGAATGAGATAAGGGAGACAAACTTTATAGGTGCTATAAAAGGGGTGCTGTGATAGCACACAAGAGCCCTCTGGGCTTACTTGCAGCCTTTAAGTTTCAAGTATATGAAAATGTAATTTACAAGTTGTAATTTGCTAGTACAACAATTAATGCATGGGATTGTCAGAAATCTCTGTATCTGGAATAGGTACAGAGTGGGTTTTAGCATACCTTGCACAGGTGAAGAACACCTGGCATTAGACTGCACTACATTCCAATAAAATCTTTTGTTACTTTCTTTTTTTCAGAAAACCTTTCATCTGATTCAACTCTCTCCAGCCCAAGTGCCCTGAATTCTCCAGGGCTGGGGAATGAAGGCTTGAACCGTAGGAGGAAGAAACGCACCAGCATAGAGACCAACATACGTGTGGCCTTAGAGAAGAGTTTCCTGGAGGTCAGTGATCCTGTTGCTCTGCTCAGCCTATAAAGAAATGAAGATACTTTGCGTAGCAACCAATCGTATCTGTTAAAGTGAATCCATTATTGTGCCATTTAGGGAAGTGCTTGTACTAAACGAGGTGAATACAAAGTCTGTGCCAAGAAGCACGCGTCAGCGTCTACCTCACTTAAATAAAAAAGAGAACACAAAACCTCTCAAAAAACCCTCATTGCTACTTGCAGTTCGCTGACTTTGTGTTTTTGCATTCCAAGATACTGAGTTATAGAACAAAGCTTGATATTCTGCACATCAAAAAGAAGAAAAATGAGATTACCCTTTCTGAGATAGATAAATGGGGTGACAGTCCAAACATATATAATGTGAAGTTTTTCACTGGCCTTTTGTCATTCTTATTTGGCACTTTGTGCAGCTGTATAGGCAGTTGGACTCTGTAAGTAGCACATTCAATCCACCTGTGTTTTGTTGTAAGTCTAGACAATTTGGGGTTCATTTGGCTGTTGCTGTAGTTAATCTCTGCTATTCCTTTTTGAGAGATGCAGAAAGAAAGATTTCCTTGTCAAGGTCTAGAGTTCCTTCAAGGATTGATTCATAAGTCAGATACCTTCTCTCAAAAAGAAGCATGTGAGCTTAGTCATCATCATCTGTCTCTGAGGAACACAGCTTACTATTGGTAGAAAAGTTGCTATAAGTAGGATGTTGAAGGGCAGAAGTATTGATCATGGTCTGTCTCTGCTGTACCACTGACCAGATTCTGGATATAAATGGCCTATACAGATTTCTGCCTAGTGAAGAAGCAGCTATGATGTAAAACTTCAGAAGGTAAATTTGCAGCTTTTCAAGTACCATTTCCTTTTCTTAGAACCAAAAGCCTACCTCGGATGAGATCACCATGATAGCTGACCAGCTAAACATGGAGAAGGAGGTGATCCGCGTTTGGTTCTGTAACCGGCGCCAGAAGGAGAAAAGGATCAACCCACCCAGCAGTGGTGGAACCAGCAGCTCGCCCATCAAAGCAATTTTCCCTTGCCCAACCTCACTGGTAAGAAACAAGATACTGTTGACGAAGATCACTGGAAAAGAGAGTTCTACTGTGCTCGCTGTGCAAGTTGCACGTGCTACACCTTCTTTGTACAGCAGACTTGTTCTCACAAATTTATTTTTTACTGGCATTTTAAATATCCTACTTGCATACCATCTAGGAGAGATTATGCTTACAAACCAGGCACTAATTGGGTCTTCAGTTTGGGTGTTTTATCTAGTCAGCTCGTGAGTAAATATTCTGACTAACAAATTTGCAGTTGGGGTTATTGCTTTGAATGTATTCCAGATAGTAACTCCAGTTACTCTGGACTTTCTCTCTTGCCCAGACTTCTGCTCTGATAAGTAGATGAGCAGCAGTAAAACTTATAATTTGGAAACATAAGTCACACAAATCCAGTGATACCATTGTTGTCACTTTTAGTCAGTGTGAGTGTGTGTGTATATATATATATATATATATTTTAAAAAGACATGGAACAGGGGAACAATTTAGCTAATACTCATGTAATTAATTTCCCACACTTGTATTTGCCTCAGGTAAACACAAACTTCATGAAAATAAGAGTAACAAAACACATGCATCAAGGTTCCTTCAGCTCCTTTGCTACCAATGTCCGTGGAGGTCTGTTTTCATAAATTGAAACAGTAGCTATTAGATTTCATAGTAGCTATGCTAATAGGAATGTGGTGGAATTTATGTAGCCTGTAGCTGTCCTTTTGTAGTATTTATTCCACCCTCATCACTGTAGTAGCTAATATCCTCCAGTACTTCATTAAACCATTAATTTTGGTGACGTGTCATTCTTTCCTCTCATCCTTGTCTCAGGATGTGTGCATGCAACCTTTTGTTTCAGGGGAAGGGATGTGTTTAGATGTACTTAGGTATTTTTATATATATATATTTTTCCCAAGTTGGAAAACAAGGCTGCGTCCCTTGCTACTGAAGCAGAACATAGTGAGATTTATGATTGTGTGTTTTAGTAACTGCAAGTTTATTCAGACTGCAACTTTAACAAGTTTTCGTACATAAACTTCTCTTTTATTATAAATGGCCATCGTATGTAAGAAACTGAGGTGTTAACCACAGTCTCAGTTTTTTCAGTGATCTTTCACTAAGTGTTTTCACTCATTGTAAGCTTCTACTAAGACTGTGCCAACCACTCAAAGGGATGTTCCAGCTTTGCTGCCCCCAGCCTTCACTGGCTATGTGCTTTGTTAATTCCTTGTGTCAGCTCTGCAGATGCTGTGTCTGTAGGATGCTTTGGCTTAGTTTGCTGGTTTGACTGCAGATGAGCCATGTGAAGAGCAGTGATGGATTTTCAGTACGGCTAGATAACCAATCCAACTTGTGGCCTGGCTGCACAAGTGCTAGGGCTCTGAAGCAGGGTTGAAGGGGAATGCTTCTTTTGATGGCAGCCTACTTTTGCATTGGCTGAAGTCAGTCGTTGTAGCCATGGGGTTAGCTGCATTAATTCTAGGTCATTCACTGCCCTGAAATATGGGTTGTGACCTTGGCCTTAACTGTTTGGTGGTCAGATGACAGCTACGATGTCTGGGCTGCGGTAGTGGAAAGTGTACTATGTATCTAGCTCTTCTTTATTTCATACACTATTTGAGATGGGCAGAAGGCTTTTAGATCTGTCCCAGTTGCCCCTTCATGTTTAAAATGCATGAATCATTTGAATTCATGTAAGAGGATATGCAGCATGAGAATGATTTCTCTGGTAATAAACTTAAGGTAAGAGAGGGGAAAAGAGGAACGTTTTGGCCTATATCCTTGGCTATGTTCTCTTGGGCAATTCTAAAGGATTCATTTCTCTCATTGATGTATAACAGCTTTCAAATACTACTGTTGGACACCATTTCTTGTCCATTAAACGTCCTTTCTCTCCTTATATTTCACTTGTCCTCATAAGCTAGTTCCTCCAGTCTTAAGTCTTTGGTGTTTTTTATCTGTAATGTCTTCAGTTTATTGTAGTTTCCTTGTAATAAGCTGTCCGCAAGTAAAATTAGCTAATGTTAATGTTTTAAAATTCAGAGATCCTTCCTCTGACACAAGGAAACTTATCAAAGTAGAGCTTATAGTTTGGTGGAGTAAAAGTGAAATGTTATTCTGTTTATCCATGTAAACATACTACTCTAAATAACTTCGGTAATGCTGGGGCATTTAAATAATTTTATCAGAGAAAGCTATTTGAAGCTTTCAGATGTTTAAACAAGAAAAAACCCATGTAGAAATAATGTATTTTGTAACTCTCTGTAGGAGTGACTCTATTAAAACAAGGTCCTGTCTTTGGGGGGAAGCTGAGAGGGAGGACTAACCTGCAGTCCTGAGACAGTATGGGTGTGATGGATATATCTCCATTCAAATACTGAATGATTAAGAATAAGATAATGCTTATTAATTAGAGAAAGTGCTATGATTGGTCCCCTAAATGATAAAGTAATGAAATTACAAAAAGTCAGTTTATATGCAGTGTTTTCCCTGGTAACTTCCTCAGCTGAGGATGGAAAGAAAGAAATCAAAGTCTAGGAGCTAATAACTGTTTTTGCCTTTTAACAGCTGAGCAGTTGTATTCTTTTTTGACCTCCAGGTGGCAACCACGCCAAGCCTTGTGACTAGCAGTGCAGCTACAACCCTGACTGTCAATCCTGTGCTCCCTCTGACCAGTCCTGCTGTAACTAGTCTGTCAGTCACAGGTAAGGGCTGATTTCCCTTGCTCCTACATTAACCTCTACCGTTTCCCCCTTTTAAACTCTTCAAAATGTCATTCAGTATTGGCCACTGGTATCCCGGGACATTCCTGGGTTTGTTCTTCGTTACTGCACTAGGAAATTTCAGTCTTCGTGACCATTCAGTTGACTTTTCTGGGGATAAAATCACAGGGGATACTGGAATGAAATATGCTATATTCCACTGCGAGCTTCTAGAGCTCCTCAGCCTCCTGTTGGGAAGTGTCATTTCACTGTAGTCTGAGCCTCTCATTTGGACTCTCGGTGTTTCTTGGTCCTACAGAAATGTGTGTTTGTCTCCCTTTCAGTTGGATGTGTGATTCAGTTCAGGTGGGTGGTGGTTTCTGTTCAGTCATATTATGTGTTTTATACTGATCTAACCAGAATCAATCTTCTAGGCACAACAGAAACCACCTCCAACAACACGGCAACAGTGATTTCAACAGCACCTCCAGCTTCTTCAGCAGTGACATCACCCTCCCTGAGTCCTTCCCCTTCTGCCTCAGCCTCCACTTCAGAGGCATCCAGTGCCAGTGAGACCAGCACAACACAGACAACCTCCACTCCCTTGTCCTCCCCTCTTGGGACCAGCCAGGTGATGGTAACGGCGTCAGGGTTGCAAACAGCGGCAGCAGCCGCGTTACAAGGAGCTGCACAGTTGCCTGCAAACGCAAGTCTTGCTGCCATGGCTGCCGCAGCAGGACTAAACCCAGGCTTGATGGCATCCTCGCAGTTTGCAGCTGGGTAAGGATGAATTTGTCACGCTCTTTTAGGTGAGGTGACAAAAGAGGGAAGGAGAATTCTTGGGATAAATTGCTTTTATGTATCGCTGTTTTCTGGTAGCTCACTTGGTGATTCTAGTGTCATTTATCTTACATTCTGAAGTTTACTGACAGATGGTAATTGGCCATTCCCGTCAATGTACACAAATGTTGTTTTCATTTTACAGATGAAAAAGCTGTGTTGCAGCGATGTTGTTATTTGATAGGTCATCCATCCCACTGCACAGCTTGCCTTAAGAGCTGCAAGTTACCAGTGAATCATAGAATCTGTTCTAATTTTAAAATGGATAGCTAGCCTAGACCCGCTTCACACCTCTGTATTCATTTCACCATCATGAGCAAGAAGCTGTAAAAGATGCATGATGATGTATTGTTGGAGTTTTAGATTTAAAAATGTCACTCTGAGAGATGACTCTCTTGTTTCTTCAGTTTGTCTTGATTTACATCTTTCTTATCTGAATTTGGGAGGTGATGGTAGCTCTCCAAGGAGTGACAGTTTCCCCAAAATACTTAACAAGAATATTTTACAGCAACAATCAGTACGTGTATTTACAGTCCTTGTACTTCAGGTGTGTCGCTAACCTCACAGCTGAAAGGCAATGTCTACTCAGGGCATGATGAAGGGAAGACTAAAATAAGCTAAAATCAGCCCTTAATCTCCAGTCTCTCCACCCCCCCCTTTTTTTTTCCAATATGATGGTGTACTTCTGAACAGTAACAACATTTCCTTAAAAGTAACGCTCCTTCCCTTGTTTCTTCTTCCACAATCTTGCTTCCTGCAGAGGTGCCTTACTCAGTCTCAATCCAGGGACATTAGGTGGTGCTCTCAGCCCGGCCCTGATGAGCAACAGTACACTGGCAACTATTCAAGGTCAGTAGTGCTCCTTTTAATGCATCTCTGTTATACAGCTTCAGTTTACATGCTTTGTTTTTCTCTATCGAAAAAGGACCCTGACTCCTCAGCACTGGACATAAACGTAAAATAGGAGTAAAGGTTTTACAGAATTTAGATGTGCAAATACACTTTATGTATCACAGAGATAAGAGCAGGTACAACTTTTGAAAGGGGATTAGAACTGCGTATGATCTTGCAGAGATTTACAGGAGGCATTTAAGATACTGAATGTGATTGGAAATCTATTTTGTGATCCTCCCTGCATTGGCATGTATCTCCAGCAGGTTAGAGATTTGCTTTTTATAGCTCTTCTAGCTCAAGCTTGAGCAGAGTTGCGCTGTTTTGTTTCTTGTCCTTCTATGTATTTAAAAAGAACGCACAACAAGCCATCTGCCTCCTAAACTCCTTATGTGGAACTTTAAATCCATAAATTCTTACTCAGAGGAGTAAAGATTAATTTTGGAAGTGCCACACAGCCAGAAGTTTGCACTGACTTTAGCAAGAGTTGTTCTCAGTTCATAGTGTGTCATCTGGAGAAACCAGATCGTGCAAGTACCTAAAGAGCGAGCTAACCTGTGTGTTCAAATATCCTCTAAACTAGCTTAACAGATCTTGTTTCCAGAGTACAAGAAAGAACCATTTTGTAAATTGTCACAGATAAATTTAGGCGACCATAATCTATTGTAGACTGAACCTTGTAGACTGGTGAAAGTAAGTTGTAACAGTGGTTGTATGTCAATATTTAATTGTTACGCTCAAGGTTAGATGACCTTCTTCATCTTGTGATAGCTGTCATTTCGTGTGAACACTCATCTCCATCCTTTCCAGCACAGATTGCCTGAATGTACAGGTTTTCTGTGGCAGGAAGCATACACCAGTATTACGCTTAAAGATCTGAAGAAAGGCACGATGGAATTAGTTTAGGATCATATGACAGAGCATTTTAGTATCTGCAAGGTCTTGTCCACTCTTTGTAAAGAGTTGTTTTTCTAAAAAAACAGCCTATGATGAGATGACTTGCGTTAGTGGTGTAGAGAGCAGAAAGGGAAATGTAGACACCAGTTACTTTTAGGCTCATTTTGCAATATTGTGTACTGCTAATGCTATCTCCTCCCTGCTCAATTTTCCTTTTTTAGCTCTTGCATCTGGTGGCTCTCTTCCAATAACATCACTGGATGCAACTGGAAACTTGGTGTTTGCCAATGCTGGAGGTACTCCTAACATCGTAACTGCCCCTCTGTTCCTGAACCCTCAGAACCTTTCTCTGCTCACCAGCAACCCGGTTAGCTTGGTCTCTGCAGCTGCAGCCTCCGCAGGGGCCTCTGGACCAGTCGCCAGCCTTCATGCCACCTCCACCTCAGCTGAGTCCATCCAGAACTCTCTCCTCACAGTGGCCTCTGCAAGCGGGGCCACGTCCACCACCACTACTGCCTCCAAGGCACAGTGAGCCGGGCTGAGCTGTGCTGCCGGCAGCCTGATTCACTGTGCGGTGAGACTGGCTGCGAGCGGGGTTTATAAACTGAAAATGTGATGGGCATCCTCTCGCCGTGTTGCTGGGGACAAGGGAGAGAAGGAGAAAAATATGAAAAAAAACAAAAAAAAAACCACAACAAAAAAAACCAACAAAAGCAAAACAGGAAGGATTTAAAGCTGGGACAGACATTTGCCTAATTTTATAATAAACACTGTCTTTTCAGGATCGCTTCATGGATCGGAGAACTTTCTAACCAAAAATGTAAAAAACAAAAAACAAAAAAACACAAAAAAACCACAAAAAAAACCACAAAAAAAGTTAAAGGACTACTTATCATTTCCAGCAGTCACAATGACAAGTTAAGGTGGGTTAACTCAGACATAGGAAGGGGATTTCTTGTTTCGTTTTGGTCTAAATATCTTTCTTTTTTAATTATCATTTTATAGGTCTGTTGTACAGGCCATTATGTCATACAAGGTGTTAATAATCTTATCAATCGTGTTGGGGGTTCCTTTCTTAACTGGTACAATTTAGGCAGGCCTGTATTACTGGTGTATCTCTATTATTATTATTATGATTATTATTATTATTATTTTTATATATATAGTTTGGACGCGTTTGTCTTTTGCTCCTGGATTATTTTCAGCGAGCTCCCACACCATGGGGGGAGGGCGGGAGGGTGAAGAGGAACAATGGAGCACAAATAGACTTTCTGTCCTAGTTAATCTTCTGGGAATGTTCGGAACAGGTTCCTCATCCTTGAATTTGTCTAATGGTTACTTACCGGGTCAGAAGAATTTACGTTCATCGTTCGCGCAGGAAGCTCAGTGTAGCAGTAGAGATCATGTGTGCAAACTTCCAGGCTAGTCTGTGCTTTTTAAGAGAGGTAGGAGTTAGTTCTGACCTGCAGTTCTCCTTCTCTCTATTATTTCGACAAAATGGCCAAATTCTGCTCTTCGCTTTGTGTGCATGGTTCCTTTTTTACTTCAGAGAGTGGGATTTGACCTCCCGAGTCTCGACTGTGTGGCATACCGATGGCTTCTCTCTTCTGTTGATTTGATTGTGCTGTTCAGAGCATACACAAATACCTTAAAAATGTGAAGTTGCCCAAGCTAATTGGCAGTACATAAAGCAGCATTTACAGTCCTAGGTTCCCACCAGGTGAACTGGTACAGGATTTCAAAAGGTCGGATCCTCCCTATTCATAGCAATATTCCTTTTCCCTTAATTCCACTGCTTCCAATGCTATATTTGGAAAAGCTTTCCAGTAAAAAAGAGCTGCTGGCTGCAAAACACAGAAGCCACCAAGACAAGAAGAGAAGTTTCCATCGTTGGTGCCAACACAGTAGCGGTGACTCCGGGCCTTTGCACACACCTGGGTGATCTCGTGTGATGCTGCTGGCTGTGTCCAAACGGCAGCAAGCATCTCTGACCGCGGGGCCGGGCTTGCCTGCCACTGTAACTGTCTTTTCAAGGCTGATTCTGATCCGTGTAGCAAAGGGTATTTACGTGGATGAGGAAGAGTAATGAACTGTACAGAAGTTAGATCTGTATATTCTTAAATATACAATCCAGTATCTGAACCAAAAAAAAGATTTTTAAAAATAGAAGACTGGATCACTGCAATGCAGTTCACTTTGAACTTTCCATTCCTGATGGATTTAAAGGTTTCTGCCATGTGTATAAAACTAAATTACTTTTAGCTAGCGAGGGTATTAGAAGAATCCCTTCCCCCACCCCCTTTTCTTTTGTCACCGGAGTGTCCTAAAATAATGAGCTGGTGCAGCTATGTTCATTTTGTTGATGATTCAGGGGGATCCTGGAGCTTCTCATCCAAGATCCAGAAGGCAGCAACTTTAAACTCTACATATGCTTTGGTTTGTGACCTGAGCATGTGGGATTTGCATTTGCACTCAAGTGGCAGAATCCCTTCTCTCCCCCCACCGCCGTGATTTTGCTCTGTTCATCTCTAACTCTCCACCTTCCTGTTTTACTGAGTATTTAAACCAGTTATCCCTAAAACGTCAAGACTAGTGAACTGCAAGCAGGGAAACTAACAAATGTCCGTCCACCGTTTCTAATGTGTTTTTGATTTTTTTATGTTTTATTTTTTTAAAACTAAGCTTGAACCAAAGTCAATTTCTAGCAAGCTGCTGTACTAATGGACTAGTTTGTATAAGTGCAGTTCAGATGCAGAGAGGCGATAGATGCTACTGACAATTTCTTTTTCATTTGTCTTTTGTTTTTATTAATTTTATATAAAAGTTGCTGCTTGTTTTTAATCTTTTTTTTTTAGTTGGTAATTTGTGTTATCCTTGGGGCAGACTCTTAACTTGATTTTAATTTTTCTTTTGTTTGATGTGTAAATAGAATGGCAATGTCAGGGGATTGTTAATCCAACAGGTCCCACCCTCATCCCACCAGTATGGATAAATCTGGAGTATTTTTGATGTGTCTCTATGACTTCAGGCTGTGCAGGAGACTTTTAGGGCTATGAAATGGTACTGCAGAAATGGAAATGGCCCACAGTAATAGCTTCAGAACAGTGAAAGGTGTGGCTGAGTGGGCTGCAGGGAGGTAGAGAAGAAGTGGAAAATGAGATGGTGGTACCCACTGCGTTGGTCTGGGGGCCGCAGCGCAGACTGCAGTTTCTACCAAAGGAAGGCAGGTCCCTGGGCCCTGTGTTAGTGAAGTAAGCGGACAGGGAAAACTGCAGCTGTGACATTCATTCCTGACCCTGAAAGTTCCTGCTGACTTTCACGCCTGTGCAAAAATACGATTTTATCAGGAAGGGTTTTTTAATTAAAGGAGGGATACTACTGGTGTTTTCTCCAATGTATCCTCTGATCTAAGGGTTTTGTGGTGGGGTGGGGGGGCATAGTCCTTGCATATATCTAGGAAACACAAAGAAAGGTGGGCCTTAAATCAGTGTAAAATCCTCTTTCCACAGTTCAAGGAGACTGTGCCATTAGCTGTCTGAATGAGTTTTCATGTCCCATTCTTGCTGGTTTGTGGTTGGGAGAGGGTCTTGTTGAGTACATATCTGGAACACTAATGCAGCTTGGATGGTTTATTTATTATAAAAATCTGCTTTTTTTCCTGACTACCTTTGCATTGGTCACATGGCTTTGGTGTGAGCACCTTATACCCCCTTACCCTCCTCCCCCTCTCTATCCTGTCCCCCTCTCTGGGGCCCAGATTCCAGGGAATTTCTTAGCAAGTCCTTTTTCTGAGAGAAACTGGAAACTCAGAGTAGTCACATATCCAGAAAGGGCTTGGTTTTGCTTGCAGAAGCTGACATAGTACCCGAACAGCACATATCCCCTCTGGTGTCCACCACCAGTGCTCTCTGATTCATAACACATCCCAGTGACTGACTGCCGCCCCTGGAGCCTGCTTTTCATCCCTAGCAGTGTTTTGTCTCATGGATGCTGGCTACCTCCACTGTTTAGGTGAAAGATGGAAATCAGATTGGCAGCGGGTGTACACCTGCCTCGTTAGCCTCTACGCGCTCCTTCAGAGCATGAAGGGAATTCGAGATCATGTACTAGAATTTAGCAGGAGTTTCTTTTTTTAAAACATAATCATGCTGACAGCAGAAATTGATGCACCTGAAAAGAGACGGTAACCATTGTATATGGACCTAGTAAATATGATTGTGGTCTGAGTTCGTGAATGCTGAAAATGGTGAATTATTGTCCCAGTGTGTACTGGGGCATGCGTTGTCACAGACTTGGTGACAGACCCAGGACGTTTATTTAGCAAACAAATTTGATTTTTTTCCTCCAGTGACACAAAGTTACATCTCTGATTCCAGTATCAGTGGGTTCATGTGTTGAATGGAGATGGTTTACTGTTATGTGATCACAGTCTCAAATCCTTACTGTTATTCTTAGGGGAAGATTTTCTGTGCAAATGCTCATTTCTTTGGCAGTCTTCTAGCTGTGTGCTGGTACATTTGCTCCTGTGTTGGTTTGTCAGCCAGGACCAGAAGGAATTTCATCGTGTGTTAGAAGAGGATAATAGCATCTCTTTTTCAGAGCTCTGTGGCTCTGATGAGCTCTTTAAAGATGTGCAGGTTGCTTTTCATAGTTGCAAGGATGCCAAAGGACATACACAGGAAAAGAGAAGGTAAAAAACTCTCTCATTAAAGCCAAGGACGGGGAGCTCAAAAAGCGAGAGATACGGATATGCCCTGAAGGTCTAGAAGAACAGTTTAGAAAATTACTTGAGGATGAGGTGTCGTAGGCTGGTGTTGAAATTTTTTCTGATGTTAGGAAAATGTATACTAGTTTGGCTTTAGCACACTTGATCTCCCCAGAATGCACTCTCTGTAGTCACCACAGAGTGATTCATGAACAGCTCAGAGAAACTGCGCAGATAGGGCTGCTCACATCTGTCCATTTAAATCTCCTTAAGAGGATCTGTTTTGTTTCTGAGTTATTGTGCAGTATGTGTTAGTCTAAGTACATTTTATCATGTTGCTCTGAGATGGTGTCTATGTGCGTCCACTCAAAAAATAGTTGGGGAGATCCCACGCTTGTTACATGCTCAAGCACCTGATTTTTAAGAGATGGAAAAGTCACTTTCCCATGAGTAGGAAATCTCTGCTCGGCTGAACCAGCAAGGAGAACACGCCTGAAAGTTGTCTGGGTCTTCGTGTAGGAAAGCACTGCTGCTCTTGCTCAGTAACTGTTTGAGTGCTAGTGAGGTTATCATGTAAGAGAAAACTAAAATGACAGCACATTAAGAGCAAGACACATATATTCTGATAGCATGAATTACAGACCTTTCGGGACCTCAGAAGCTTCAAGTTTGAATTTTATCTTTAAATGAACAGGCTGACAGATATTTTTAGTGAAAACGGTATAGCTCCCGATGTATTTGGAGTTACGGCTTGGGGTTTGTTTCCTCAAGGGGGGTTACACGAATAAGCTCTCTGCTGATCTTAACAGACAAGAACAGATGTTCTCTCATAGTGTGATAGCTTTTCATTTGAGCAAGGGCAATCCACTGCCTCTGTTTTTACCCCTGATTTTAATTTTGCGTACTTTACAGTGAACATCAAATGTGGACAAAAACTTTATACTTCTGATCTTTTGGTATCTTGCCAAAATATTTTAGGATAATGAATTCCTTTTTAAAAAAAAAAAGCACAGAAATGAACCAGTTTTGCTCAGGGGGCAGTAAGAGAATGGCTGTTACCAAATATGTTAGAGATAATTCTCAGTGTGCATCCATGCCAACAATTGCGTAATAGATTTAATTA